GATTAGGTGAGAGGGACTCAGAACAGAGTCAAGCTCTTTCTGGACTTTTTCTAACAAATTTTAAAAAAAAAAAAAAATTTAAAAAGGAGAATAAAAATTTATAAGTACAAGAACACCACTTTGCATGAAAGTTTTCATTTCCTTTTTGGATTATAGTGCTGATAGAAAAAATACAATATGTAAATATTTTATACTTACCGTATCTTAAAATGTAAATACATTTATACAACTATCTAGTTATGATTTTACTACACTTTGGTATTTCCTAGTTTATAGATTCTACGTTCAGATCATCCTTCCACAAGCCCAACTTGATTTATTGAGTTTCATAGTTAAAGGAAGAGGATGAACTGTAAATAAAACAAGAACTTCTTACTAAGAGATCAACTCATTTACTCAAGCTATTATTTTTACCCTAGTGAAACACAGACTCGGAGCACACTAATCAGCACATTGCAAGGGAGCCTCACATCAAGCTGCTACACACGTCATGCTGACAAGTGAAACAGGATAATATTACCCAAACCACCACCAACCGTCAATCTCTTTGGCTGTTGTCTAGGCTCCAGTAATAACAGAGTTAACACAATCTCGGAGGGTTCAGGGTCAAATTTTATACTTAATAATTAGGCTAGTGAGCTAAGAGGTTTTGTTTGCTTTTTAGTTTGTTTGAATTCAAAAGGGGGTGGGGGTGTGCACAGGGCACTATTCCAGCATTCTAGCAACAAAGACTATGAAAAGAAGGATTTCTAGCTCTAAACTCAAGAGTTGAGAACATGTACTTGGCTTAGAAGTCCACCATCTCTGAAAGACCTATACCAAATAATTCAAAGATTTTGAAGCTAGTGTGCAGCTATGGACTTGTCTAGAACTTTCCAGTCATCTTTTTGTCTTCCCATTATTGCCTTTGTTCTCTGTTTAACATTCCAATAACTTACAATTTACTTATTATAAAGAAATACAGCTGCTGCCCAGTTCATGAATGCAAATTATATATTTTTATTACACGTTCTGGTTACCAACAAAGCGTCATTTTTCCCTTAAGCCAAGCTCACATTTCACCTCCTGTGTTTTCAGCA